CATCCCCAAGACTTGAAAATACTGAGGGTGCACATGTTTTAAATGAAAATATATCTTTGGAATTATAAAATAAATATTACATCATAGAGACTGTAGATTAGAGAAACTGCCACCTTCTCACTATTGTCATTTTCAGAACTTTTTTTTTTTTTTTTGAGATGGAGTCTCGCTCTGTAGCCCAGGCTGGAGTGCATTGGTACAATCTCGGCTCACTGCAAGCTCCACCTCCTGGGTTCACGCCATTCTCCTGCCTCAGCCTCCCGAGTAGCTGGGACTACAGGTACCTGCCACCACGCCCGGCTAGTTTTTTGCATTTTTAGTAGATGGGGTTTCACCGTGTTAGCCAGGATGGTCTCAACCTCCTGACCTTGTGATCTGCCTGCCTTGGCCTCCCAAAGTGCTAGGATTATGGGTGTGAGCCACCGCCCCTGGCCTAGAACATTTTTATTTGTATTTTTAATTTTTATTTCTTTGAGACAGAGTCCTGTTCTGTTGCCCAGGCTGGAGTGCAGTGGTGAGATCTTGGCTGACTGCAGCCTCTACCTCCCAGGTTCCAGCAATTCTCCTGTCTCAGCCTCCTGAGTAGCTGGGATTACAGATGTGCATCATCACGCCCGGCTATTTTTGTATTTTTAGTAGAGACGGGTTTTTACCATGTTGGCCTGGCAGGTCTCGAAGTCCTGACCTCAGGTGATCTGCCTGCCTCAGCCTCCCAAAGTGCTGGGATTACAGGTGTGAGCCACTGTGCCCAGGCACAAAACATTGTTAATATTCATTTTTCAGGCCTTTCCTAACCATCCTATCTAAATTACACCCTTTGTGGCCCCCCCTTTTTTTTTTTAAACAAACATCTGGTCTTATGTATTAGGCACTGTTCTAAAACCTCTGCAAGTATTAACTTATTCTATCCTCACCATTGCCCTCTAAGGTACTCTTACTTGTTCTATTTTAGATCTACCGGGGAAATTGAGGCACAGAGGGGTGAGGGAACTTACCCAGGGTTGTACAGCTGGTGAGTGTCAGAATTGGGATTCAAACCCAGGCAGCTTGGCTTTAGAATCAACAGTCTGAGCTTCGTGTCCTGCTGCCCAGATCTGGCTGTAGATGCTCTTTATGTCTTTCTTTCCCTCCAGCTGCTGAGCTGCTCACTCTTTATCCACTTTGCTTATCACAGTGTCTGGCACAGAGTCGCACTCAAGTGCTATTTGTCAGGTGAATGAAGGAATGATGAGAAAGGGGGAATTTCCCATAACCCAACTACCTTAGCACAATAATTATGGTAATTTTGATAGATTGTAGATTTCAAATCATGGGTCAGGAACTGCTCCTGCCAGTCCTGTTGTTCCGTCATCGTCTTTCAGGCCAGAACAGCCCAGCTGCGCCAACATACCTGGGGCGAGAGGCAGCCCATGTTCCTCATGCCAGCGGCCAGCTGTGGGTTGGCCTTGGGCCTGTGTCTCCTTTGATCTTGCCCTTACTCACTCCCTCGCTGTCTTTCTGAGCCTCCTTATCGCTGTATGCCTGTCTTGTCCACCTCTCTTTGTTCTCATTGTGCCTCTACATGCTCTTTAAAGCCACTGGAGTTTGAGGACATGCAATAGTAATTTTCTAATCGTTACTGGGCAGTGTAAAACAAACATTAGCACAGCTGGCAAAGAGTGTAGGCAGGTGGTGCCTTTGGGATCCTAAAAAAGCAGGATACAGCTGAGAACTCTGTGACATCGTGGATTCAGAAACTGCTGGAACTATCCAATCCCTGTGGTGGCTGCCTCTTGTAGGGGTGGTGCCAAGGGTGGCTTGGGGGTTTAGGGCCTCCTAAATTTCCATTAGGCCCCAACAAATATACAATATAGCTAAAAAACAAAAAACAAAAAACAAAAAAAACCCCCAGTGTATTTGTTACGAAAACGCAACTTCGAGATGAGTCTCTAGACCCCACAGTCCCCCTTTGGATAAACTCTGGAGCTTTACAGCTGCCAGAGATCCATTTGCTGTCCTCTGCTTTGCTAACCATCTTCACTGAGTCTTTAATAACAAGTGGGGCTGGAAGGCTGACCAGTGCCCTGATTCATTTTCATATTGAGTCATTGCAGGTCCCAGGCACAGGTTGATAATTATCTAACTGTTAGATTCTAACACACATTGGATGGCAATATAAAGGATCCATGAGGCAGGGTCCCCTTCTCAAAGAACTTCAGAGGAAAAGTTAAATGGCAGTGCAGGGGTTAACTGACACCATTGGCAGCAACTGATGGTCAGAGATGACTGTGCTGTGTCAAAGGCACACAGAACAAATATGCACAACCGAGTTCATAGGCAGGAGAGATCCTGTGGGCTGAAGAGAGGAGGTCAGGCTTTGTGGAAGAGTGAATTTGCCCTGGGGCTGGAGGATGAGTAGGAGCTGGAAGCTGAGCAGGGAGGGTGGAGGAGGGTGTTCCAGGCTGAGGACCAGCATGGGGTGTGGCTGGCAGAACTAGAAGCGCAGCATGGGACTATGTGATGAGTGGGCCTAGCTGGGAGGTCTGACGGATATGCCCAGCCCAGGCAGTGAGTGTGATGCTGATGTCAGGGCTGCCCACAAACTTAAACAAAAGCCTGGGAACACAAACGTGGTATGCACCATGCTAACCAATGTGGGAAAGAAATCACACATGGAGCTGCTTCTAAGACACATTCAGTAAGATCAGACATGGGTGACCATCCTGCGCTTCTATCCTGTGGGCCAGGGCAGCACTCCCAGGGAGAACCGGCATCTTCAGGTGCCAGGGTCCCTTTGGGAGGTGAGTCTGGGCCTCGCCTGTGATGGGCCAGCTGCAGGGTCCTTCTGCACTCAGGTCCTCTGCTGAAATGATGTGACCTTGGTTTTGCAGGAGGGCGAGGATGGTAGAATAGGCTGGCCTGGGCAGGTGTCCCTTTTAGTTGTCCTCTGGGTAGTCTCTCTCATGGCCTGTTGATCCTGATAGACCCCAGAATACCTGTGGTAGCCCAGAGATGAATGAGGCCTACTTCAAACAATGGCCTAATGCTGGGGCTTATCTGGCCTTTGTCCCACCAGAAACCAATCAGTTCCAGGAAGAGTTTTTCAGCCTGGCCTGAACCCTGCCAGTCCAATAACAGCATAGCCCCTGGCATGTGGTGAGCACTCGATAAATATTTAGCTGATGGAATTCCCACTCTCTACATCTCTGACAGCTGAGTGCCTCCCAAATCCTTGCCCAAGCAGCCTCACCCTCTTCCTCACTCTCCAAGCCTTCACAGAGGCCACAACTGCACCATCTCTGTTGCTATTCTCATCATCGAGACACCATCTACCATGCTTCTCCCTCCACTCTGTCCCTACCCCAGCTCTCCAGGACCCAGCCTACTGCGATTCCCAACTTGCTGGCTGGTCCCACTGTGGCTTCTTGGGAAGTCTGCAAGGATGGAAAGCCCATGTGAGTACCTAATGGCATGGGGTACTAAGAAAGAGGAGCAGCAGAGTTCTTGGTCCAGAACAGGCTAGCAGGGAAGAGAAAGCTGTCTGAAATCTATCTTAATGTATCTCTCTGTGTGTGTGTATATACACATATATGGACATCTAAGTTTATGAGGCATCTTTGCATGAATATATATGGATATATTTTCATTTATTGACTTAATGGATTTTTTCTGCCTTCGTCAGCATGTCTTTGGTTATAAAATCTGGGGTTTGGGAATCTGATCTGCGAAGAGAGAGCATGAGCAGCCGTGAGAAGGCATATCCCAATTCCCCACCCCTCAACCCTCAGCACCAGAGGCATTGAAGGAGAGGCAAGACAAGCACTTAGGGTTGTTTAGGGAGTTGCAACATCCTATGAGAAGTGGAACTAGATGACAATTGAGGTCCCTTTAATTCCAGTGAATTTAAATCTAGACTGCTTTGTACAGTAACCACACATGATTAAGTGGTGGTTGAAAGTGTGATGTTGTGGAGCAATGGAGCAACAGTGCTTATGAGAATGGCCCCTGGTCAGATGGATCTGGGTTGAGGCACAGCTGCATAACTTAATGATTGTATGCTTCTGGGCACGTCTCCTAGCCTTTCTGTGCCTCAGTTTCTTCATCTGTAAAATGAGGACAGCAATAATACCTATTAAGGTTGTAGTGAGAATCAATGAGATAACACATATGATAACACACGTGGTAAGTGCTCAGTGAATGTTGCTGGTGGTTGTTAAGGCTGTTATTCTTGTTGAAGGATGCAGTTTTAAACACTTCGGTCCTCAGATGAACCATCTGGCTCTATGGAGTCAGCCTTAACTGTCTTCCCAGCTCCCATCCTTGCTCCTGACCTAAAATTCCACTAATGGGGGAAAGAGCTCCTGCCCTCAAAACACCATCCCATAGCCAGTTCAGCTGGACACCAGGAGAACCTAGCCAGGCTGCACTCCACTCTGACAGCTTTGGCTTCAGTTAGGGTCCACCCAGCTGGACACTTGGAAGGGACAGACCATTCAATCCCAAATTCTGAGGCATCATCCCTTTCCAGACCAGCCAGTGACACACTCCTTTGTCCCCTAAACAACAGGAGTCAGAGATATGTTTATGTGGTGCCTATCCAGGGAGGATGAGGATTCTGATGGGCAGTGACTCTGCAGCCTGCTTTTAGGTTGTGTAAATGAAACTTATGCAAATGAAGCAGCCATTTCTGCTCTTACTCCCTATAACCAGCTTCCTTCTGGGAGAGAAGGGCCAGGCTCACTCTTTAGTTGTGCTTCCGGGCCGGATGCAGTGGCTCACACCTGTAATCCCAGCACTTTGGGAGGCCAAGGTGGGTGGATCACCTGAGGTCAAGAGTTCGAGATCAGGCTGGCCAACACAGTCTCTACTAAAAATACAAAAGTTAGCCAGGTGTGGTGGTGCATGCCTATAATCCCAGCTACTTGGGAGGCTGAGGCATGAGAATTGCTTGAGCCCAGGAGATGGAGGTTGCAGTGAGCCGAGATCACACTGCTGCACTCCAGCCTGGGCGACAGATTCCATCTCAAAAAAAAAAAAAAAATATATATATATATATATATATAGCACTTATGGTGTGAGCCCTTGCAAAGGTTGCTTGCCCTAGGCTTGTCCTTCTCTCTACCCCTGAGTCCCTGTGTTTGGACTCCTCTCTACACAGCAACAGGTTGGGGGATTCTCTTAAACCCACCAGCAACTGTTCAACCTGGCACGTGGGCAGGAAACCTCGAGATTAAAATCTGATAACCTGGAAGGGATTGTCAGATCCAACCCCATCATTTCAGATGAGAAAGCTGAAGACCAGCGAGAGGAAGAAAATTCTCCTGTTAAAGCACACTGGATGAAGACGTGCTCCACTCCCAACCTCCAGAAAAAAATCACTGATAGAGTGGCCTCCACTGTTCACCAGTTTTGCCTTTGTATATGATATTTTCTTTTCTGAGAGGGTTGAGAATCCCCATGCAGTGCTCTTTTTGGCAAGGGCATCATACTTTGCAGATTTTACCTTTATTATCGTGGAAAACTTGACAGTCACGGGGAGCTGTTCCTCTTCTTTTGGACTTGGAAACAAAAGAACCTCACTGGGGAGGAGTTCTAGAGGAGAGGAGTCTAAGTGGGGGTGAAGGGAGCGAAACTCTGGGCTCCCAGGGGAAGAAGAGTGGGCCTTCAGTTGCCTTTAAGAGGCCTCTTGCCCCTCCCCTGCCTCATAAGGACTCTGAAACATTTAAACCCCAGAGGCTGACTCAGTAAGAGTCATTTGCATAATATTTTAGGGTGATTTAGCCATGCGCAGCTACATGTGGCTGATTTAGCTATGCTGGGCTTGGTGGTAATAAGAATAGCCCTGGTTCTGACAGACACATCCTATATGTCTCTGTCCAATGACCCCAACCCTTGCTTGGGCACTTAAACTGCTTGTCAAACTTGGACCAATCACCTTACTGTGTGCCAGTGTCATGCTAAGCATCAGGAATTTGAAGATGAATCCAACCTGTGGCCCCTTGAAAAGTCAGGTCTGAGACTTGGAAGTAGGTGTCTGTTTGGTGGGGATCACCCAGAGATCAGCCCATGGGTGTCCCTGATTTGGACAAAGAACCCCCCCCAACTGGAGCCATCTTGGTGTGCCTGCCTGCATGACCTATTTTTAAAGCTGCAAACAGCTAGCATTACCTGTTCTCAACATCTGGCATTACCTACCTGCTTAGTCACCTTCCCTCAGGCTTCAAACAGCTGTAGGGCCCCACCTCCTATCCATCTAGGGTCCCTCCCTTCCATTTTTCTTCCTGAAAGGATCTGGAGACACCAGCTCTACAAGTCCTGGTGTCTTTAAAAGGATCAGCTTGAGGAATAAGGCTCATTTGAGAGCTGTGACATTCATCTGACTCTAGTGAAAGTACAACAGCCACTCCCTTTTTGGCCTCCAGCTGGGCACCATGAGGGCCTGCATCCCCCTGGTATTGGCCGTGCTGTGCAGCCTGGCCTGGGCTGGTAAGTCACTATCTGGCGGGCATGGGATTGCTGGCAGGGCGGGATCTTGCCTAAAGAAGCAGAGAATTGGGGAACTGGTAGAGGGCAGGGCTATGGGACAAGGGAGGGTAAGCTCTGTTCTAAACCCACAGAACTCTTTTGGGTTGTCCTTGTCTGAGGGTGCAGGTGTTGTTCCTGGAATGGACTGGACTATGTGGAGAGAGTTGTAGGGCTGATGGTCTGATTTCATGGAAGTCCCTTCTTGACACCTTGGAGGATCAGCCCCAAACATCCCTTAGTCCAGCCTGACTTTTGATCTCCCCAAGATTTTGTTGTCTGGGGCCACTGTATGGTATAAAGCTAGGGATGGGTTCCATGGGGTCTAGTGGCCTGGCTGCCCTTGGTCACTCCTTCCACTGCCCGGTGGCAGGTGAGGTTGTCTAGGGTGTGATCTTACTTTGTGTAGTGCCTTAGGAGGTGGGCAGGCTTAGGAGGAAACTGGAAGGATCCTTAACCAGGAGGAGGGCCACGTCCTATCTGGGGCTGTACAGGGGTCAGAGGAATGGATCTCTGTTGCAGTGTTAGGGGAATTAAAGAATAGAGAAGGGACCTGGCCCACAGTTATAAGAGGTTCAGGGGATGGGACTGGCAGAGGAACAGGACCATGTTCTTGTTTAGTAACTGTGCAAAATGCTGGTGCTGATGTGTTAATTGGTAGCTAGTGGGTGGGTGGGAAGGACTGCCAAGGGAGGGGCTGAGCTGAAGAGTGTAGGGAGAATCCTCCTCTGCCCACAGGAGAAAGAATCTTTCCACTGGGTTACTCCTGTATGGGACTGTGGAAAGGATTAAATGAGATAATGTATGAGAAGCACCTGGTGCAAAGTGAGATCTCAGTGAATTGGAAATTCGCTATGATTATGACTATAAATATTCTTGGGACAAATTCCACTTGGGGTCATTTCCAATGGGGTTGTGGAAAGGAGACCCCTAATGGGATTTTTAAATGGAAAACCCTTGGAAGAAGAAGTTGTGCCTCTCAACTGTGGATGAGATAGTGTGCCTTACCAGGAACCAGCTCTGCCTGGGCCCTACTGGTGGAGAGGGAGTGGGAGAGCATGAGGGTGGGCCTGGGAGCCACCGGCCTCAGCCCTGTTGGTGGGAAGGAAGGTGGAACCTGGGGGTGCTTAATGTGGAGGGGTGGCCAGCAGTCTTGGCATATCCCAGCCTTAGGAAAGGAGAGCAACTCTGGACATTTGGTCCCTGGGAGGACATCCCTGAGGGCAGAGGTAGCAGTAGCTTTAGAAGTGCAGGTGGAGCTCTTGCTGCTGGGTCAGAGGGCAGTATCTGCTTCGTCTGTGGGATGGATGGGAAGTGAGGTCAAGTGTGTGAGGCCTCCTATGGTGGCAGAGAAGAGGCTCTGCACTTGTTGATACTATCCCAACATCTCAGAACTGAGAGGCAAGAATATGAATCACACAGGGAATCATTGACAGCCTCAGGTCCTCCTTTATGAGCTGGATGTCTGTGGAGAACCTTGGTTGATTTTTTTGGTTGTGAATGGAGGCAGGAAGCTAGTCCAAGGGGTGAGGCTTCTTGGTTGACTAGGTCTCCATGGAAACAGCATCTGGGGCCTTCTGAGAGGTACAGACATGTAGAATGTCCCAGTCATCAGAGGGGCTGAGCGCCAGTGTACAGGGACACTGTGTCCACCCAGGCTTGGGACCAAGCTTTCTTGATGGCCTATGGATAGGGAGTGGCTGTTCTGGCATATTAAAGTCTTAGAAAGTACAGAGAAATTGAGCATTTCATAGGGAATGGAGGAAGAATCTGAACCCAAGAGAGGAAAGACTCAAATGAAGAAAGGCAGAGAGTCAGAGAGGTGAGGCAGAGAAACAAGAGGCACAGGTTACTAGAGCAGTGATTCAGGCACCTGGCTTGGGGAGCAAGGCTTACTCAAGAGTATTGGTGTCAATGGCACAGTGTGGGGGTGCTGGAGTGATAGGGTGACTAGTTACTCATCAGAGTGTCCCCAGAACGTCACGGCAAAGTGCCTGTGAGGAAAAGTTCCTCCCACCCCTGCCCTCCACTGTCAAATCCCAAGGTCACCTTGGAGCAGACCAAGTGCACAGAGAAATGTGAGAAAGTGCTGGCATGGGGCTCTTGCTGGAGACAAAGTTTTTGAGCAGAGATGAAAAAGCCCACTCAGCTTGGGCCGGCGGGGGTGCTCTCCTGCACGTCCAGCTGACTGCTCGCTTGCAACCCTTCTCAACTGGTGCCAGCTGCTGGAATGAAGTGAATTCTTTCCCTGGACTCTGCTGATTTGGCCCATTAAAAACATTGCCCTGATTTGCCTGAATTCTCTCCCTTTGGATTCTGGGTGTACTGCCAGGCTGACTGAGTAGGGAGCTGATGGGCTGAAAATTTCTCCTTAAGATCTTTGCATTCAGGCTCCAAGGGAGCATCATTTAACATTCAAGAGGAGTTCCTGTGGGCCTGAAGGAACAAGTGGCCTTGGGCCTGGTCTCTTTTAGGAACTGGAAACCTGCCTTCCTGGCCACCTTGGAGGCCTGACAATGCGAAGTTGTCTGAAGACCTGGGTTAACCTTGACCCGATGCCTCTCTGATATAAAGAATACAGACCTGTAGTGATGAAGTCAGCCGGGAAACCAGCAACACAGATGTGCTGACAACCCAGCCCAAGGGATGGCCCTGTTGAAACCCTGGGAGAGTGTCAGCTAGATTAAGTGTGTCAATAGGGCCACCACACAGGGAAGACTTCTCTACCCAGTCTGAACACTTGTCACTTGGAAGATGGGCATGAAATATTGCCACCATTTATTCACCTGACAAATACTTCTATAGTACTACTATGTGTCACTTGCTGTCCTAAGTGCTTTACACATATTAACTCATTTAATTCTTATAAATATTCTATGAGATAGGCTCCATTATCATCCCACTCTTACAGATAAGAAAACCAAGGCACAGAAGTTTAAATAACTTGCCCAAGATCACATAGCTAGAAAGCAGTGGAACCAGAATTCCAGCCTCAAGCAGTTTGGCGCCAGAGTCTAGGTTCTTAACCTCTCTGCTATGCCGTCCCTCATTAGACACAGTATCAACCCTAATCCCAGAATCCAATACTAGGGACTGGTAACTAAACCCAACCTCTAATATTTGAGCTCTAACCACTCCAGGCTTAAATTAAAATACTATACCTGTGTTGAATCATAACCAGAACCAAGCCCCCAAACAAAACAGGGATTATTCATCTTTTCTCATCCTGACACATTCCTCAACCCCGAATGTCATCTTAAGTCTATTCCTGTTCCTTACCCAAATATCAATACAAAATTGTTAATTTATCAACTAATTTAACTCAAGCCCAAATCCTAACTGTAGTTCTTAACCTAACTAACCCCAACACTCGTCCAAATTAGGTTTCAGTTTCCTCACTGATACAAATTCTGATGCCGATGGTAACTCTGACTCTGATCTTGACATTCTCGGTAACCCACAGTATGACCTCTGAAGCCAGCGTTCGTGAAATCCAAACCTCAGGAACCTCAAATCGAACAAAGACTCTTATCACCCTTAAAGCCCAGAGTGGATAGTGGGTTTCCACTGTTCCTTCAAAATGTCTTGTCTTACGTCCCTTGCGACCAAAACCTTGCTTCTGCAAACCATTTGGCTGCAGTGGGGGATGTGGTCTGTGGTTACACAATAGAATGCTAGGCCAGAGCCCAATTCTCACCCGTACCCACCTCATTCCCCACCCTGAGCATAAATTAATCTGAATGTACTCCAAAGATGGGAAAGAACAGAAAGATGTGACACAGGGGGAAAGAGGGTACAGAGAAGACAGATGAAGGGGAGAGAAGAGCAAAGAAGCAAAGAACATAACAGGGATGGGATAAGAGCCCAGGGAAGGTCAGAGGGCAGGGGACATCCCTGGGACAGCATCTACATGATAGGTGAAGGGGGCCTGTGGGCCACACCCAGTTCACAGACCTATTTCTTTGGTGTGCTTAAAGTTTTACATGGTTGGAAAATTTCACATCAAAATGAAGATTTATCTTGAAAAAAAAAATGGGAGCTCTGGCAACACTGAGCCCACATCCCAACATGGCAACAATCGGCTGGAGCTGAGCATCAGCTGCGAATTTCAGATGGAGCATTGCTCTCAAGCTTGTCACGGTCTCCATTTCTTCCTACTGCCTCAGACCCTGCTTCTTTACTTGTTTATGTTCTGGGCCTAACCCAAATGCCTATTTGGGTTTGTAATCCTGGTCTCTTTGATGAGCCTTGAAATATTTGGTGGGTGTTGGGCGGTGGGGAGGAGGCTTATGTTGTGCACGGGAGGCTGTGGATGTACTTCTCCCTTGCAGAGAGTAATGCCCTTCCCTGCCAGGTACACTCCTGTCCTGATCTGTGAACCCTCCTGTAGGAGGCACCTTGGGGAGGAGAACAGGGTCTCCATAGAGCTGAGTTTGTGACCTTTACTGACTATAGGAAAAATGGAATCCTGTGCATCTCGATGTAATGAGAAATTTAACCGGGACGCTGCCTGCCAGTGTGACCGCCGGTGTCTCCGGCATGGGAACTGCTGCGAAGACTACGAACATCTGTGTACTGGTGAGCCTCCTTGTGAGACGAAGGCACGTCCAGCCTGTCTAAGGGGCCATTGGCCTGGGTGTCCAGCAGGCCAGAGCAGCGTTCAGAGCTGACAGGGGCTCTAAGGATCTGGACAGAAAGCACCGAGAGACAGAGGCAGGGTCAGGACTTTGGCCACCACTTTTCTCAGGTTTTCTAGGATGCCCCCAACTTAAAATACAGTAGATGTCATTTACCTAGAATTCTGTCTGAACTACCAGTATTAACAATATCTTGAAAGTTTAAGTCCCAAATTCTAAAAAAGGGTAAAATGATAAAAATAATATTTTAGTATGTATGACATTACTAATTGTCATTCAACACTTTAAATCACAAAAATGTAAAAATGGTAGCAAACTCTCACAACTCGTGTACCGCCAGGAAGACTGCATGGTGTCATCACAGTGACGGACACGATTCATACCACTCTTCCTCTAGTGAAGGGACCACATGGCACAACATCTCCATACCGTCATTTCCAGCCCACCAATTAGAACAGAACATGCGCCACCTTTAACTGCATAGTTTTAAATGAATACTTGAAAAAAATAATGTATGAATAATCAAATTGTTTAGGTGCTTCCAATGTTGTCAACTCCCAGATTAATGATCTTCTGCTTTGTGACATCATTACCTAACGTGGCTCCAGTGAGCATGTTTTCACAACTGGGAGTCAGAGTGCATGGATTGCCAGCACTTAGAACACAGCCTGACACATAGTAAGTGATCAGAAGATGTTTGCTGACTGAATAACAACTTGACTGGTAGTTCTGATGGTAATAACTTTTCAGTAAACTCACTAGTAGATTCCGAATCACTTTGTCACAGTATTGTTTGTTGGGTGTATGGAGGGGATTGGGGGGGTATTATTCCACTGTGTGATGAGAGAGGAACTCAGAGTCCCCAGGAACATTTCTCCCTGCCACACCACCACCAACCTCAAATCCACCCTTCTCTGCCCAGAGCTGAGCTACAATCACTCAGCTTGCAGGTGAAGGGAGTGGGGCAGCAATAGGAATGTGCTTTTCTGAACATGCCCTTTCCCTAGACACAGTCTTTGTGGCCATTTCCAAGTGGGGCGAAGAAAGAAGGGAAGTTGGAATCTCAGGAAACAGCTCTTATTCCTTGAGGCCCTGAGAATTTACCCTGAACTCTGATGAGAAGTTTTTCTAGGTACAGGATGTTCCTAAGTGAGGGCCTTGTCATTAGGACAGCATCAAGGCTCTATCCATCTGTCAACTTTTGTTAAATCAGAGTTTTCATCACCAAAATCAGAGTTTTCAATCCAGATGTGTCACCTGGGGAAATTATTTTCCTTTTTTATAAGTTTTCTATAATGTGTCTTCCATTGGAAACATCTTCCATTTTCTGTTTTCATCCTCATTATTTGGTGCCCGTCCTTTGGACCCCAGCCCCTGGTTGGGATTTGCACCCAGTGCCCTTGCTTGTCCCCTGAGGCTGGGGGAGCAGAGAACTAGAAACCAAGCAGCAGGGGAATTCTCAGGTTATTGGTGACTTTATTTTTCTATTTACCTGCAGAGGACCACAAAGAGTCAGAGCCATTGCCACAGCCGGAGGAAGAGACAGAAGAGGCCCTTGCCAGCAGTGAGCCTACCTCCCCAAAGGGGGGCCCTCCAGATAAAGCAGGAGGGACATGAGGGTGACAAGGAGGGGCGGCCATGGCAGTGGCACCAGGCACAGGCCTCAGCCAGATGAGAGAGGCTTGCTGGACTCTGGGAACCTGGGCAGGAAGAAGCCTGGTGGGGCTCAGCCAGCCTGGGGGGGCTATGGGGGCAGGGTAGCTAGGAAAGAAAGCCTGAGGCCTGGAGAGGGAAGTGGAAGAGATTTTATTTTTAGAATGGGAAGATTAGAAAAACAGCGTGCCAGAAAGTAAAGATCGGCATCAGAAAGGACTTCCTGACTGTGAAGGGTGTGCACGAATTAGGCTTGTTTGTTTTCCTTCCCTGGAGATCTTTGCTGGGCAGAGTCAAGAGAGCCAGGCTAGGGAGGGACGGCCTGCGGGGTGTTCAGAGCGACCTCTAGAGGTCAGCCCGGGACACACCTCCCCTGTCTTCTCAGACTTGTACTCGGCACCCACCTCCTGCCAGGGCCGCTGCTACGAAGCCTTCGACAAGCACCACCAATGTCACTGCAATGCCCGCTGCCAAGAGTTTGGGAACTGCTGCAAGGATTTTGAGAGCCTGTGTAGTGACCACGGTTAGTCTTCTGCTCCCTTAGCTAAGCTGCAGAGACAGAAGGACTCTAGAGCAGGTTCTCAATGTGTGGTCCCTGGACCAGCAGCAACAGCAATGTCTGAGAACTTGTTAGAAATGCAGACTCTGGGGCTTCACTCTGGGCCTACTTAATCAGAAACTCTGGAGGTGGGACTCACTTTCCCGGTCTACCAGGGCCTCCAGGTGATTCTGATGCATGCCCAAATGTGAGACTCCTCCTAGGGGGAAGGGGCCGGGGACATTCTGTGGGCAATGCCTGTGCTGATTTTATAGGTCCTTTAGGCTCTGGGCCCCTGTCTACCACTAGGGTGTCCAACTGTGGCTCCCCTCTGTCCATGCTGGCTTCTTGAAGGTGCCCAGGAGGGGATGCACACAGACAATTTCCTGCCCGCCCCCCCTTCCCTCTGGCTCTGAGGCCACCCCTCTCCTAATTCCTCCCAGAGGGCTTCTCCCACAGCAGTGATGCCATAACCAAAGAGGAGATTCAGAGCATCTCTGAGAAGATCTACAGGGCAGACACCAACAAAGCCCAGAAGGAAGATATCATTCTCAATAGCCAAAACTGCATCTCCCCGTCAGAGACCAGAGACCAAAGGGATCGCTGCCCAAAGCCGTGAGTTCCCGCAGTTCCTCTTCCTACCCCCCAAATCTCGCCCCCATCCTTGCTTCTTTTGATGCCTTAGGTCTTTTATCCTCAAGTCAGGCAGGATCAAAGGGAGAGCAGAAAAAAAAATAGGTCTCTAGAGACAAAGCCATCTTGAGTGACTGTGGATATCCAGTTGGGAGGGTTTCTGTGATTAGCCAGGTTGAGGATAGAACAGCTCTTCCAAAACATGAGGTAGAAGAAAAGTGACCTGTGGCTTTCAAGAGTACCCAAAGTGCCCCCTCGGCTCCTGAAGCCAGCCCTCGCCTGCCTGCCCCTGGCCTGTCTAGAAGTCTCTGGAGGGGCTGCTGCCCCGTGTTTGGGGCTCTCAGTGGGTTTCCCACTGCCTCCCCCAGACTCTTCACTTATGTCAATGAGAAGCTGTTCTCCAAGCCCACCTATGCAGCCTTCATCAACCTCCTCAACAACTACCAGCGGGCGACAGGTCATGGGGAGCACTTCAGTGCCCAGGAGCTGGCCGAACAGGACGCCTTCCTCAGAGAGATCATGAAGACGGCAGTCATGAAGGAGCTCTACAGCTTCCTCCATCACCAGAGTGAGTGAGCACCCCCAGGCCCCAGGGTGCACGAGTCTGTCTGAAGGGAGCCAGGCGGGTGGGGGAGGGGAAGGTTAGGAGGGCAGGTGAGGAGGCGGTGGGGACTCTGTGGAGGTCAGTGTATATCTGGGAGGGATGAGGGATGAGGCCAGGGGGAAGCCAAGGAGAGGTTAGGAACCCAACCAGGAGCTGACACATCCTCTGGCTGGTTGGCTTGGAAATCACCCCACCTTTGACTTCATGTTAACTGCCTTATGCATGCCCACCCTTTGCTACAGTCTCAGGGTTCTCTGCTGGGCATGAGCCTCCCCTCACATCCCAACCCCACCCAGGGCACGTCTCAGTCACCTCTGCGATCCAGGAGTTAGCCCCATGTTTCAGACAGGTAGAGTCACTGACTCTACTCCCTCCTCCTGCACTAAAGTCCAGGAATCGGGTTGGCTGAGTCCACCTTTTGGCTGGAGAAACAGCATCAGAAAATCAACAAAGGTTCAGAGAGGGAAGTCCTATCGGGAAGAGTTGTGGTTGGAAAGCCTCCAGATAGAGATACATTAGAGTCAGACCAAAAAAGATTTTGGCCGCAGGACTTCTTGGCATGGGGTTGCGTTTGTTAGTGTTCTGCAGATTCCTTTCCCAAACTCCAGGCAGCTGAGCTTTGTCTGAGGGGTGGCTCTGTCTGGGTCTTCCCTCGTTGTCCCTGAGAGTGCCTTGGCTCAGAGCTGCTGCCTCCCTTAAGAGTTGGTGACACTGTTTTTAGGTAAAGTGGCAGTGACACAGAGTGACTCTATGAAGAAGCTGCAATCCTGTGCTGCCCCCTGGCGTTCTCTTTGTAGTAAATACACAAGAGAATCTTGGAGGTCTAGACTGAGCAAGGGCTTTTCAAATGAGAGAAATGGAGGCCAGACAGGCTAGACTTATCTGAGGCCACAAATGAGTTGGAAGCAGAGCTGGGGCTGGAACTCAGGGTTCCGATGCCAAGGCCAGGCTGTCCCGTTACTCACTCTCTCCTCGCCTCTCTCCTTGTCCAAATCCCGCTTATCCTTAAAGTTCTATAATAGTTCATATCCCACCACATTTGTGAAGGCTGCACCTGCCCCAGCTCACTCTGGCTTTCGGCACCTCTGCAGAGTTTGGAGTGTGGTCCACAATAGCCTTGGGTCAGAGAGATTTGGTTTAAATCTTGGCTCTGCCACTTGCTAGTGACTTGACCCTGGGCAATTTATTTGATCTCTCTGGGGCTTCCGTTTGAAATGGGGTTTTTGAGGATGACTGCTTATAAAGCACCCAGTAGAAAGCCTGGCACTCAGTCCGCGCTCAGTAAGGGTAGCTATTCAGTGTGTGAAGCCATTCTCTGTTATTTTTTGTATATTTAGTCTTGTTTTCCAAATGTGTTTCAAGTCCTTGAAAGGAAGGAATATGTCTGGTATTTCTTTTGTATTTACCGTACAAAATTGTGGGCAGTGAACAGTCAATCTTTGATGGTTCCCTCATTGAAATCTCCAGCCCTGAACTTTCCCAGGGGCCTTTTCAACAACTCCACTTAGCTATCTAACTGATATTCACACAGAACTTAGTGTAGAAAGAATTTTTGGTTCCCCTCTATTCCTCCTTACCTGCTCCTCTCTGGGTCTTCCCCATTTCATAAATGGCAACATAACCCATCCGGTTGCTCAGGCCAAAAAGCCTAGTAGTTAGATTTAATTGTTCTCTTTACCTCAAAGTTCCCTACTCCCATCTCCTCCATCAGTAATGTCCATCACTCCCACTTCAAAATATGTCCTGGGCCTACTGCTTCTCTCTCCTCCTCCGGAGTTAATACCACTATCTAAGCCCCATCAACTTCTTACATGGACAAAGCATGAGCCTCAAAACTAATCTCTCTCTGCTTCCACTCATACCACCCCATTGCCTTTTTAACATACACAGCCAGGGTGATCTTTGAAATGCTCCTATCATACAATTCCCCTGCTTAAAATCCTTCAGTGGCTCTGCACTACCAAGAAGTTACAGAGTTGTTAAAGAGATTGGTCTCTGGAGCTAGACTGAGTGGACTCAAGCACTGTCTCCACCTTTCATTAACTGTGATCTTGCATGAGTTTCATACTTTGTCTATCTCAGTTTCTTCATTTCTAAGTTGGGGATAATTAGTATCAACCTTATGTGAAGATTCAATGTGAGGATTCAGTGTTACATTGAAAGCACTTAAAATGGTACTAAATGGACAGAAAACAATTAGTAAATCTAAAATATTTTTTGTTTTATTTCTATTTGCCTGAGATCTGACCTTCTTGCCATGGCTTGAAGGATCTGACTCCTGGCTGCTTCTCAAACCTCCTCCCCTACCACTCTCCTCTCCTGCTCCAGCCTCACTGACTTCTTTTGGTCCTTTGAACAGCAAACTCAAGTCTGTCTAGAGCCTTTGCTCTTGCAGTTCCCTCTACACAGAATAATCTTCCCCCCAGTTCTTCTTCTTTGTGTAGCCAGTTCCTTATCCTTCAGCTCTCTGATAAGTACTACCTTCTCACAGAGGCCTTTCTGTTCTTCCCTTCTAGAAGACTCCCCCCTGCCTCCTGTCCCCAATGTGCCAGCCCTTTCCCATCATTACGGGCTACTCTGCTTCACAGCACCGATTTGAAATCATATTTCTTATTGTTTACTTGTTTATTATTTGACTCCTCCACTGGAATGTAATATAGATAGAGACTATGTCCTCGCTATTCCCAGCTGAATCCTCAGCCTTTAGATCTGGACCTGGCACAAAATAGGCATCCCATAGATAATCATTGAATAAACAGCTGAACACATTTGTTGATTGAACCCCCATGTTTCTTGACGTGTGGAACAAGTAGCTCTTTAGGTCTCTGTTTAGCGCTCCCAGGACCTGGCCCTGCCTCCCCTCTCCAAAACCCTCTGTGTTCCTCTCTGTAGATCGCTATGGCTCAGAACAAGAGTTCATCAATGACTTGAAGAACATGTGGTTTGGGCTCTATTCAAGAGGCAATGAAGAGGGGGACTCGAGTGGCTTTGAACATGTCTTCTCAGGTGGGAGCACTTTTCTTGGAAAGAAAGAGTTGGAGGGATGAAGAGGAATGGTTTTGCTCAGGAGCAGGGCAGCCCTGGGTATGGATTAATCAGCAGTCCGGCCAGCTAGCATGGAGGGACCCATGCATTCTCCCCCACCCAGATGGCCGGGGGAGGGGGGTGTCTGAGGAGCCATTCTGAGAAACAGTCTTTTCTGGAGTACCTAAGGGGGAAAGAAGACCAGATGCTGGGGCTCCCCAGGGGGCACATCTAGGACAAGACACGTGTCTGGGAGCAAGTTTGCCTACCTCTGAACAGTCCTTTGCTTCCAGAGCCTGGCCAGCTGCTTTCCAAGAGGGCCATGGTCTGTTCCCCCCTGTTCTATCCCATAAAACTCCCACCAAGCCTGGCTTGCTGCTGGAGTAATGGCTGAGAGAGGTCATCAGGATCGCCAGAAGGAAGGATTCTCCCAAGGGCTTGAGCCAGAAGGGGTGCCTTCCTGAGGTGAGAGATAGGACTGTGAGAGACTCTGGGGGCTCAGAGCAAGGGGCCAAGCAGCTAGAAGTCAGAGACTGGAGAAGGGGGAAGCCTTGGCATGGGGTGGAGAAAGGGGATTGGAGGAGAGGGTGGGGAAGGAGCCCAGATTATCCATCTTGGACTCTTTATTATAGGTGAGGTCAAAAAAGGCAAGGTCACTGGCTTCCATAACTGGATCCGCTTCTACCTGGAGGAGAAGGAGGGTCTGGTTGACTATTACAGTCACATCTACGATGGGCCTGTGAGTACACGACCTGGAAAAGCCTTGTCAGCGCCCAGATGTCCTGCTCTCACTCTGCATTCCAGTCAGACTTGTCTCTCAGCCTGACTCTCATGGGGCAACCCCAGGCAATTGTGACTATGATGTCCTCACCTGCTGGACAGCCAGTTTAGCCAGCCAGGACACTGGAATTCCCTTCCAAACAGTGAAGGCTTAACTGCAAGGGACAGGAGGCAGGAGGCACAATATTTGGGTGGGAGCCTGGAGCCTGGGGAGGATTCTCAGAGGGAAGAACAAAGATATGCAATTACTCCCTGCCTCAGTTTCCTTAGAATGTGGCTGAAAATTTCAGCCTGGGCTAGTCTGAGCTAAACTTCATACACTTTGTAAGACAGAAACCTTTGCTGCCCGGTACCAGGAAATAATTTGGGGGTAGTAAACTATCCTTCTCTTCCATGTGTGAGGGCCATTGGGAATAGTGATGTCCTTGATACCCAGAGATGGATCCTATGGATAGTGATTTTGGCCTTCCTGGTAGATGTGCACTAACAGCTCCAGGCAGAGGGTCTGGGTGGGCTCAGACACCTTAGCAAGGCAGACTGGCTCCTCTATTTAAAGAATCCAGTCTCCTTGGAAGGTTCACACAGGCCCCTAATGGACCCTCAACAAATACTGTCTGACTGTTGCCATTGGGCATCTGTTCTACTCCACTCTGTGGCACTCACCAGACCCCCTTTTCTGCCCTTCCCTCCACAGTGGGATTCTTACCCCGACGTACTGGCAATGCAGTTCAACTGGGACGGCTACTATAAGGAAGTGGGCTCCGCTTTCATCGGCAGCAGCCCTGAGTTTGAGTTTGCACTCTACTCCCTGTGCTTCATCGCCAGGCCAGGCAAAGTGTAAGGACGGGGCCAGCCAGGCCTGGGGAGCAGGCTGGGGCTGCAGGCTGTCCTCAGCCAGCACAGAGTCAAGAGACTTGGACTCTGCCACAAAGAGGCTGAGAGGGTTTGGACAAATCTGTGCTTTGGGCCTCAGTTCTCTTGCTTGAACAATTAAGTTTCTGGATTGGTTTGGTGGCTGCCAAACTTCATCTTAGCAGCAAAACTATCTCCCCTCATCCCCTCAAAGTGAAATCTTACATAGGACCTTAATATATGAAATAGAAATGGAGTTGTCCTGGGGCTCTCAGCCTCTTTATTTGTGCCCTGAGGCTACTTAGGGGAACCTAGAGCCCCAGAAAGTACCACTAGGAACCACGGGGCCTCATGTTCTCTAATATTCGGACACATTAAGTTTTCCCACTTCTGAAACCCTAAGCAAACATTTAATTTCTGAGGATTTCACCTCTAGAATCTGGGATTTTGGAATACTGCTCTGGGAAACATGAGGAACAGCATTCTTTAAGAAGACAAGAAATAAGGCAAAGATTTTGAAATGGCTCCTTGCACATGGGGAGCTGGAGGCAGCTGCTGAAGAAAGCAGTGCCAGCTCTGTCTTTCAGGCTGTTTAAGCAGAACGGAGCCCTTCTGCTTAGGTTGGGCTTGATCCTTCCAGTCCAGGGAGAGGCAGGGTGAAGTGGGGAGCCCCTCTGATTTCAGGATCTTTCCCCACAGGTGCCAGTTAAGCCTGGGAGGATATCCCTTAGCCGTCCGGACATATACCTGGGACAAGTCCACCTACGGGAATGGCAAGAAGCACATCGCCACAGCCTACATAGTGTCTTCCGCCTAATAGAACTTTGAGCCAGAAAGGGGTATGAGGGCTCTTGCAAGACTGAAGTGCTATCTTCTCCGGACTAGAGAGAAGAGGGAGACGACTGGGAGGGATCACCAAATCTCAAAGCAATGAGAAGCATTCCTAAATCCCAAAGTGCCCACATGGGAAAGAGATAAAATGTACAAATTAGAAAAATTGGATAAACAGTCAAACCTTTATCCTCTAGAATTTTGGCAATGTAGACTAAGAAACAGAGTCCAGGCAGAGAAGGTAGGAGCCCTCCATAGCTCTCTGCCCTGATGTGTGGGGGAACTAGGAAGAAGTCCTTTGACCTCCCCAGGCCTCATGCTTCCCTTTAATGTAAAGGGAAGGGGTTTCCCCACTTTCCTCTTTTCGGGGTTGGTGAAAGGGCAAACCCTGATATTTTTACTGTGATAGTGTTTTCAATTGTTCTTAGGAAGAACAGCTGATAGAAATTCAAGATTACTATAATGGCTGTTATTATACACAGCTCTGTAAACTACAACTCAGCCCTGTGTTGCAATCCTCAAAGAAGTAAGGCCACAGTAATCAAGCAAGGGCCTTTGGTTTTTTCCAGCGTTAGATCCTCTCAGAACAGAGTCGGGGAGAACTCCAATGCTGAATGGAGAAGGGTAATAGGTTGGTGCAGTGAATGGGCTGAGGGTGGGGTGGCCTTCTCCAGGCCTGAGTGTTTTTGTGTCCAGCTCAGTATCTGCATCAAGATGTTTCCCACTTGTGGATATTTAGTGCAGCCACAGACTTGTATTTTGATCCCCAATGTTTTTTTTGAAAGAGTTCTCCTCATAGGAGGAAGATTCAGCATCAGAAAAAGAAGGAACCCACAGCTTGGTGTCATTAACATAATTATTTTAAGGCTTATCCAGCAGGCATAATTTGAGTAACTCTAGGAGACCAGAGAGACTGTGGTTCCCTATTTTAACCTCAATTATGCATTTGTCCCCCAACCCCACTGAGAACTAAATGCTGTACCACAGAGCCGGGTGTGAACTACAGTTTAGAAGGTTCAAGTTTCCAATTAAAGTCATGGAAGAAAACTTGAAATGAGTGTCTTCTTTGTATATGGTCTCCCTCCACTGTCTGTCTCCCTGCCTTTTCCCTGGAGCAGGGCTGGGAATGATACTTTTACTCTAGCGTTTTTTTCAGAATGGCTTGAAGAATGCGGTATCTGGGTGAAGTCCCTGTTGACTCACTAAGTCTCTCTAGCCAAGAGGGGAAGAGAATTCTGTAATATGAAGAGTGGAAGGAGCATTGCATACAGATAGTGAGGCAGGGGGTAAATGGAGATTGGTGGTCCCCATCCCCAATAACCGGTTCCCTTGATCACATACACAGGAGTATAAGGACATTTCTGGATGTAGCTTCTGTGGTTGCAGAGGTTGACTACACTGGGGGAAGAGGAGATGCTAAAGAGATACAGAAAAAGACTTCTTATCTGTAAACAGATTGCTCAAGCCACAATGCTAGAAAATAGTCAGATATGAAGGGATACCTCTGGCAAGTTTATAGACTGCAGATGGATGAAACAGGGCTGTGTCCTGCCCTTTCCCAGGGATGTTCACAGTCAACGGGCAAGACAGTGAGTCAGCAGAGCACAGGGGTAACAGGTACAGGCTCTGAAGTCATGTTGCCCAGGTACCTAGCCAGGCTCTGTTGCTTACTGGCCATATGAGCAAATTTCTTACTTATTCAGATTGTTTCCTCACCAGTCAAATGGCGATAATATTACCATTGTTGTGAGATAAGGAATGTGAAATAACATGCTAGTCTTTCTTATAGTAATAATTGTCTCACTTATGATACAGATTTAATTTTATACTGGGAGAGGCAATTTACTATCCCTACTATCAGCCTTAACCTTCACCTACTGGTGCCCAGTACTTGTGCTCTTCATAGGCCTCTTCAGGTCTTCCAGGTAGTCCAGTAGGAGACAGAAAGACAGAAATGTAGGAGACAGTACTGTATTCCAGGGTCTGGGCCTTAGCTTTGCAGGAGAGAAGGGTAAGAACTAACATTTGTTAAGCTGTTACCATGTCCCAAGCTGTGCTAAGTAGTCCTTTTATATTCATTTTCTCAATCTGGTGGGTATTTTTATCTTCACCACTTTAATTTTACCTAGACAACTGAGGCTCAGATTAAGTCACATTCTTAGTCAGTAGCAGAATCAGGATTGCAAATTCAACCCTTTTCCTTATGTTGTAGTGAGCCTGGATTTCTAGTAGTATCTACTCACTTATTCATTCATTATTTTAAAAATAATATTTATTAAGACCCTTTACAGAGGCTGCTGGTTACCCCTCAGTGTCTGCTCTCCTCTTCTTCCTTATTCATTGAACTCTTAGTTTTTAGGTACACAAATGACTGTCAAGAGTACAGACTCTTGACCTCCCTTGCAACTGGAAGTAGGCGTGTGTCTATGTCCTTACCAATGGCATGCAAAAGGAAGTATTCTTAATGGGCAGGGGGTACCGTTATTCCCACTCTTGCCCTTTGCTGCTGATGGGATTTCAGACAAGATCATGGGAGCTTGAGCGGCCAGCTTGAACCATGAATGAAAGCCATGTGCTGAAGATCACAGAGCAGCCGGGAAGGAGCCTGGGTCTCACACTGGAACTGTCACACTAGTCCTGGATTGCTTATATTCAGTCTTATATGAAAGAGAAATAATCTTTCATGTTTAAGCCACTCTTATTTTGGGCTTTCTGACACATGCAACCAAACTTAACATAGTATCTCCATAACAGGAAGTTCCAAGGTTCATTTTCTTCCTAAAGTTACTTAGCTAATACTTCCTTTCTTAAGATTTACATTAACTGTCAGACTCTTTAACTATTTGAAAGATCCCAATAATTGTTTTGGATATTAAAATTAATAGCATTTACAATCATTAATTGCAGCATTTTAATGTTGCAATAATAAACACTCCTGTTTATTTCCACTGACCATTACAATTTCAACATATAAAACACATAAAGAGGTTTGTCTCTTTGAAAATAACTATTCAGGTATTAATGGTAAGTTCAACTGAGATGACTGGAGTAGATGAATAAAAGAGACATAAAAGAAAGGCATGATTTATACATTTTGTTGAAATCCATTTGAAGATAACTGCCAATAGAAGTGGGGAGGTCTGCATGGAATCTAGGAAAGAACTTAAGGTGGCCTAGGTCTGAGCTCACAGCAGAGAAGGCTGCCATTGCAGGCACAGGTTTTGTGGGACAGCAAGAGCCTCAGAATTAGGTGATGATGACCATCAAAACCATTTGATTAACTTTTCTCACTTTGACTCTATATTCATTAAGCTACCTCTGATTATTATGTGGTTTGAGCGAGAAAAAGAGAGAGAGAAAAGAGGGGTCACCTAAGGGTCTATGAGGTTTTACCAGAGTAGCCAGCTAGCTCCCTTATCTCTCATCTCAATCAACTCTGCCAGAATTAATAAACCAAATGTGGTTGCTTTTGTTAAAAACACCAATCAATCAATATTTGTTTTTAAATACTTAACAAAAAAATTCTTAAAAAGTTCTCTATCTCCCTAATACAACCAAAGAATAATTTCATTAGTAAATATTTTGATGTACACTTAATGATTTGACTACCATGATTTTAAAATACAAAGATACCAATAATTAAACAATGGGAAGGATGTGCTAATGATATGACCTTGTAAGAAAGGACCCCAGCCTAGTTCTTCATTGATTAGCACCTGGGTTAGTGGCTTCCAGCTTCAAATGCACAGCTGTATCCTATGCTTTAAAAAATTCTGATTGGCTTCACTCAAGACTAGTTACATCAGAATCTCTGGGATAGGACCAGGAATCAGTATATATATATACACACACACACACACTCACATTTATATATATATACACTCCCTAAGTGATTCCAAAGTTCAGTCAAGACTGAGAACCACCGATCTGGATTTTGAGAATAACATTTGAGGTTACAGTCCTGTTTTAAATGAAAAGTTTCATTAGTTTGTGTTTGCTTTTGTGGACTTCTGCAGTTATTTTTGTTTTGCTTTCGTTTAAGAGTTGTCATTGCAAGGATGACTCCCTCACACGGGAAGCAGAGGCAAAAAGTGTTAAAAGTTTCGTTCTTTTTTCTCTGATAAGTCAGGGCATATCTAAAGACAGAGTGTAACACTGGCACATGTCAAAGACAGACTCAGAGATAGATTCACTCAGAAAAGGAGTTTACTTGCAAAAGATGCAAGGGAGTTAGACGGAAGGACTAGTTTGCCAAATACCAGTACTTCAAGAAAAAAAAAAATACCCTAAAATTACCAGGATTACCAGTTGACAGTAGTCTGTTCATGGTGGAAAAACAGTAACTTTCTCACATGGTTATACTCACAAAGGTCAGACAAATCGTTAGACATTAGCAAGGTAAATATTAGAGTTTAAACTGTTTGAAGGGAGTCCAACGAAATAGTGAAGGTTTTATTGTTTTGGAGATCAGAAAATCAGGATGATCCTGCAGTTTTTGGGTTATCCCCTATTAAGTTTAGTCATATTGGAAGGAGGCAGAAGGCTCAGATATTGCTTTTACATACCCTCAAGCCACCAAGCTGGTTCCATCCTGAGAAGGAAGTCACGAAGCTTACTTCCTGCGCGCGCTCAAGCCCAGGCTAAAGGGGGCGGGGCGAGGCCGCGGGGACTTGTGGGAAAGCGCAGGAGGCGGGGCTCTGCGTGAGTCACTGCGGGGCTGACTGGGCTGCAGTGCGGCGGGTTACGGCCTGGTTAGGTGAGCGGGCGTTGCGGTCCTCGCTGCCCGGAGCAGCGTAGGAAATCCTTGGGGTGGCCGGTGGGAGGAGAGGTAGCGGTTATGGGTAGCGGTGAGGCGGAGCGGGCTAGGGCTAGCGGTGGAGGCGCACGTTGAGGCGGCGCGTCGGTGTCCAGGGTAGCGGCGTCCCGGGGTGCGCGTTCCCGGAGGGGCTCGCCCTGGCAACACGGGCCTACGCACTCTGCTTTGCGGACGGACCCTCCACCCTGCTGCCCGGGGTATTGGGCGATTTGCAGCGCTCGGGAAGGCAGAGCCGCCCTCCCGCAAAGACGGCGGTGGTACCCGCCCCCTTGCGGCGTGGGTGTGCGGCGTTCGCCCGGACAGCGCGTGTGGAAGTGATACCCCAAGCGCTGGAAGTTTCTGATTGCTGGCTCGCACCCCTGCCCCATCGCAGGGTCCCTGGGAGAGTTTTTGGGCCTGCTCGAGCAGCAGCGGTGATGGGTGAAATGGAAAAGCATCTAGCACCCGTCAGTATCTGACTGACTTGTTGCGCTTTTATTCATTTATTTGAGTCCCCGATAAAGCGTTGTACCAGTTTTGGTTTTGAATGAGATGTACATGTATGATCCAACATGGACACTGCCTGAAAGAAGCTTAAACCTAATTTAGTTGTTGAGGCTACGGGTCAGAAGACCTATCTGCATCTGCAGCTGTCCCTTCTTAGTGAGGTATTTTTCACTGTCCTAAACAAATATTTTTGTAATTCCGTCTACCTCCCTCCCACCTTCTCTCCCCTCTCCCTCAAGCTTTGAATCTTCTTCCACCTTTTTGGAGACTTTGCCCCATCACTCATCCTTTTTCCTGTATCTTTTACTTTGTTCCTCTTCCCCCAGACTGTGCTCAAGAACAAGTCTTACATTATCAAAGGCAAATGTACTCTAATTTCATTTGCTTAACTCATTTCATTCCCCCCTCCTTTTTTTTTTTTTTTTTTTTGTCCAAGGCTGGAGTGCTCTGAGGCCATCACCGCCCACTGTAGCCTCCATCTTCCGATCCTCCCACCTCAGCCTCCTGAGTAGCTGGAACTATAGGCACCCGCCACCACACCTGGCTGATTTTTATATTTTTGGTAGAGTCGGGGATCTTGAAGTGTTGCCCAGGCTGATCTCGAACTCTTGAGCACAAGCTATTCCCCCGCCCCCCAACCTTTGCCTCCCAAAGTGCCGGGATTACAGGCATGAGCCACAGCGGTTGGCCTTCCGCCCTTTAAAAAAAATCTCAATGAAACTCTGAATAGAGGTCAGGCGTGGTGTCTCACG